TTTTTGAAAAAACTTTTATTTGATTGTATTTTTTGCTCTCTTAACTTTGTAGTGTCCTGAAGATGCAAATAAATTTTGCGAAACGTCGACAAATTTAAAACAAAGGACTTCTGTTGATTTCTTTCGATCCTAATCCAATTTATAAAAAAAGAACACATTATATATTATTGGATCGACAACAATAAAAATTATATTTACATTTTGGAATTGTACAACTGACGTTCGGAAACTGGGAGCTGGAAAGAAAAAATGGGTTATATACAAGAAATGGAACACATACACGGTGCCAATGTAGCAAGAAGTTTAAAATCATGGGCCAACTGTAACAGAAAATTGGTTAATTATAATAGTCACAAAATTTTCTTAATAAGATGCAGAAGAGCTAAAGTTTTCCACAACATATTTTAAAGACAGCAAAATGTATAGATCACTTAGTGGTAGAGGAATCACCCCTTATAAATCAATGCCATTCGGCGCTTAAAGATTTTCAAAGGAAAATATTAAATTTAGAAATTTCTTTTATACATTGGAAAATTAAGCAATTAGAATCTAACAAAATATTAGCTGTCAATGATCTGAAAAACACTTTAAATACATCAGATCTTGATAGATTTAAGAATAGCCAAGAAAAGTTTTATTGTAATCAATTAAAAAAAATAAAAGCCAAACAAATAAATAAGTTCAATAAACTTGTTAAATTACAAAATCCTATACAAAGGGTCGAAGTAAATAATAAATGGATTGTAAATCACAGTGATGTAGATGTACCAAATGAGGTACAGTATATACTAAGTTTAGGAGAAAATTTTAATTTACCTTACGAAAAAGGAAATGAACCTTTAAAAGACCTAATTATAGATTTGGAGTATATTTTAGATATGTTCGAAGACGAGACGAGCATTCAAATACGAAATCAATGTATAAATGTTACAACAAACTTTGTTCGTTCCAATAAGCCTTTAAGTTTTCAAAGAAAGCAATTTCAAAACATGATAAAACAAACGGCTATTTTTCTTAGTAAGAATAAAGATAATATATTAGTATTAAAGGCAGATAAGGGTAATACTACCGTTATCATTAATAGAACTGAATATCTAGAAAAATCTCAAAATATTCTAAGAGATGAAACGACATATAAAAAATTAAAAAAAGATCCAACGATAACAGTTCAAAATAAAAACAAAAAAATTATTGACACTTTAGTAAGAGAAGGTTTTATTGACAACGAGCAAGGTAAGAAATTAAAAACTGGTGCTGCTAATCCACCGAAGATTTATTTTCAGCCAAAAATACATAAAAATAATCGACCTTTCAGACCCATAGTATCGTTTGTGGGATCACCTCTGTACTCTCTGACAGGTTTTTTAGCATCTCTTTTAAATGGTATGTTTGTCAAGAACGACAGTTATGTCCGAAATTCATTTGAATTTGTTAATGATATAAAAAGCATTAAATTACCTAAAGATTATCAACTCATATCTTTGGACGTTATATCACTTTTTACTAACATTCCTACAGATATAGTAATTAATATAGTTAATAAGAAATGGCATCTTATAGAAAATGAAATAAAAATTCCCTTACATAGATTTGTTGAACTGTTAACATTTATTTTTGATAACAACTACTTTCAATACCAAGATGAGTTTTATCAACAGATATATGGACTGGGAATGGGTAATTGTTTATCACCGATTTGTTCTGATTTAGTTATGCAGGATTTACAGGATCAATGTATTAAAAAACTTCCTTTTCAATTGCCGTTTTTTAAACGTTATGTTGATGATATTATAACTTCAATTCCTATTAATCAAGAACAAAGTATATTAGACATATTTAATTGTTATCACCCTAAACTACAATTTACATTGGAGAAAGAAATAAACAACAGCATAGCATTCCTTGACGTGAGACTAATTAGACACAATCAATTAATAGAGACAGATTGGTATCACAAGCCGACATTCTCTGAGAGATTTCTCAATTATTCCTCCGAACATTCTTTGAAACAAAAAATTAATGTTATTAATAACCTGAAAATCAGAGCTACATCACTATCATCAATTAATTTTCATAATAAAAATTTAAAATATATCGAAAGCATGTTGATTAAAAATAATTATCCAATATCTATGATTAAAAAAATTCTTAACAAGAAAACCGTTGTAAAATCTACTAACCAAAATGATAGAGAAGTTTATTGTAAAATACCTTATATCGACTGTCTGTCAGAACAAATTAAAAACACATTTAAGGGTCATACTACAAAAAAACAGGAAAAAATAAAAATTACAACAAGGAGTCATAACACCATAAAGAGACGGTTCTTTTCAAAAACAAAATCAAAGAATAAAAAAGAACTGAAACCGGCATAATATATAACATTCCTTGTACTCAATGTCCTAAAAGCTATGTTGGGCAGACCGGTAGATATTTAAAACAAAGATTGAATGAACATAAAAATGATCAAAGGAACTTTCTTTTGAAATCTAATCCTACCGCATTAGTAGAACACAAAATAGAGACAGGCCATAACTTCGATTTTGACAATACCACTATTTTACAAACACAATCTAATTATAAGAAAAGATTATTTGCAGAGATGATAGAAATCCAAAAAAACAAAAATTGCGTTAATAAAAGAACAGACGTAGAAAACCTGAGTACAGCATATTTTAATATTCTTTCAAAAATTAAATAATATAACTTCAAAATAATGGTTTAAATCCAAATAATATTTTTATATGTTTCTTTTTTCAACTGTTCTTTATCTCCAGGTAAAAATTATATTAGTATTTTATCAACTAGAATTAGTTGCTCTCTGTATACGGTCAACGTAGGTACATCTGCACTGCTTGTCTGTGAAAGGAAAAGATTTTCGTGATATTTCTCTATACATAATTGTGTTATATGTTTTTTTTTATGTAAGTGTGTTATGTGTTTTAAAAGGAAAAAAGGGATATATACCACTCCCCTCTATACCATCCGTGTATTAATGGATATGACTAAGAAAGTCCAGATTTAAATGTGAGTAACATATACATATATTTTATTTAATTGTTAACATTAGGGTAGTTTTACCAATTGTATATGTGTGGAATTCCACTGATATGTATTTTAAGTTGTTTGTTAAATTTTTGAAAAAACTTTTATTTGATTGTATTTTTTGCTCTCTTAACTTTGCAGTGTCCTGAAGATGCAAATAAATTTTGCGAAACGTCGACAAATTTAAAACAAAGGACTTCTGTTGATTTCTTTCGATCCTAATCCAATTTATAAAAAAAGAACACATTATCTTTTATTTCTGTGGCGTGTTCTGAAATACAACCGGCTATATAATTTTGAATAATCTCGGACAAGCCCGAAAAATGTTTCCAATTTGCTTTAAACGTTTTTTGAATTTTCATATAAAAGTTTTAAATGCTAGGTATAATGAATCATATGAAATATCCCCTTAACGAAATGTGATATATCCCCTTATGAAATATCGAGAATATCCCCTTAACTTTTAAGCCTACCGAGCCCCCACGACTTCATGCGAAGGCGACCAGAGATTTCGCCTAAGCCCCGCCTTAATACGATACATCTCCGACTTACGTCGCGTCAATGAGTTAGACAGAGACAGAAGACTGCCGTACGTCGTCTACTATCAGAGTCGATGCAGAAATCGCCGAACAAAGGCACTCCAACTCCAACGGTCAAAATTATTTAGTTTTCTAACGCAGCGGCACAGTGAGCGTACGCCAGCGATAGTGAATATTTTAATATACAAGACCACAAATATTAAAATAATATTGATTATTAAAACACACTTCCGTGTGTTAACAGTATTTTTATATATTGGCAACATTAATAGTAAATAATGTAATGTAAAAATAAATAAACCGCTTCAATTCTGCCAAAATTTTAGGGTAGACGCCGCGCCGCCTACCTTGCCTACCCTGACGAGCCGCCACTGAGAATTTCCGACCACGAACCGAGGATTCAGAGTTCGAATCCCGGTCAGGACAAAGACTTTTCTATTTTATTTTCGTTTATATTCTGATAATAAAGTATTAAACACTTGTTTTTTTTAATAACCAGAATTATTTAATACTTTACTATCAGAGTATAAACGAAAATAAAATGAAAAAGTCTTTGCCCTGACCCGGATTCAAACACTGAATCATCGGTGCGTAGTCGGAAACTCTACGCACTGCGCTATGGAGACATGTTCGATTTATATTCAATATAAATAGAATTTATAGGACTAAATTAAAAAAAAAATATAGGATCTTCTTCCGATGCGCAGTAGTGAACGCAACGGGTATCAACAGCCAGACGGGCCGCATGCTGTTTCAGAGAGCATAGTAAAAGATATATCAAAGAGCCAGACCTTGCTAGCTCTTAGACTATAAATGAGTAGTGAATGCACACTGCATTCACCAACTAATAGAATCATATCGATTCTCTCTGATGTAGGATAAGTTTGCTTGTTGTTTTTTTAAATGTTTAGTTTGGTTGTTGTTTTTTTAAATGTGACTAATGTTCAATATTAATTTGGTCTCACCCTTTATAATTTTTCGGGTCAAGTTTTAATTTAATTTAGAGTACAATGGTTATTTTAAGAATGGTTATTTTAACTACGTATTAGGCTATACCGAGTAAATTCCAATTTAGGTAGCTTTTATTGAAAATTATTATTATTTTTTTCATTTTTAGAAAATGTTAAATATGTCAAAAACCTCACATTTCAGCCATATACTCGCCCTTAGTTTTCTCATAGAATCCGAAAATCAATTAATATATAGGGTGTTCCATTACAAAAAACACAACTTTGATATGTAACTTTTTTTGGGGAGACCCTGTAGAACTCACTATAATTTAAAAAAATGCTCAAAAACTAACCAACATTTGCTCACAAAATTTAATTTCAATATAAAGTGTCGATCTCCCTGGAGCCTCCGCGTCGTATGAGAGGCGCCACCCTGTACATTCAAATTAAAAATGACTTTACTTACTTTTATATAGCAAATCTTCAGTTTCATTCAGCATTTTCAGTTGATTATAGCACTCTGTACTGATATTCAACTCCATAATTTTGTCGACAAATTCATTAAATGTTACTCCATCAATCACCACTTTCTTTAACACTTTCTCTGACAGATTTGATAAATCGCATTTTACCCGTATTAATAATGTCCAAAATACGAAAACTATAGCTACTTTAGTATTCATTGTTAACAGTGTTTTAAATAAAATCATGCGATTCTTTATTAATTAATCATATCAGTCGTCTGTCAAAATGAATGTCTTGCGAGCGTCTAAACTAATAATAAGGTAATTTTTAGCTTAAGTGGCTTACTATCTCAAGTAATTCCGTTCCTAATCGAATACTTCTGAGTGCAAAATTAGATTATTATATTAGATAGGACCAATACAATAAAAAAATAAATATTTCGAATTATAGTACTTCTAATCTCTCATATAATCCATCAGGCGCAAGTGTATCTCTTAAAAAATATATGCTATACAGCGTGTTTCAAAAAAATGTGCCATCTCCCGTGGGGAGATTGATTACGTTTAATTTACGTATAACTAAGATTTATTTTATATATCAACATAGGTTTCGTCACTACACTTCGTCACTCCATTTTTTTTTATTTATTATAATTTTCTTCCAAGTGCTTTTAGTGATTCGAATGAAATCTTGATATTAAAATTAAACGTCATTATAAGTGCGACATATTATTTTAATAATAAAAAAGTGTCGACTTATTCACCAGGGACGTGCATATGGGTTAACACTGGAATGTTTTTCAAAATAACATGGGTGATTTTAATCTTCTTGATGAGATAAACGCAATCGAGGGGTGTCTCACTGTTGGAATTACATGTACATTTTCTTGGCAGTCGCTGGCAGTCTTTGGCAGTCTTACGGCAGTCGCCTATAATTACATGGCAGTCATAGGCAGTCGCTCGGCAGTCGCTTGGCAGTCGCTAGGCAGTCGCGGCAGTCACTGGCAGTCACTACGCAGTCGCGGCAGTCACTGGCAGTCTCTTGGAATTCAGAAGTCAGTCGGCAGATTTTGGGATGTTTTGTATAAAAACTTGTCAATTTTGAAGCAAATATATATATATTTTTTTCAATTTAATGTAAAAAAAACTTGCAGCGTAATTCTTGTTTAACGAAATATGTATAAAACGACTCATGTGATGATCGGGTAAAAGAAAATTTTCTCGAAAATTTCACATACATTCAGATAGATTTTTGTTTTATGGTTAATGATGTTAAATTAATTCATAATAACTGCAGTATAATAGATAATGAAAAGCTAACGAGTTCAAGGTATATCAAAAATGTTTTGGTTTTGTTTTTTTAACGCTTTTTGGAACAAAATGTTAAACAGAAAAGTTATAGGGAAGATTAAGAAACACATTTTAAAATTACTGTAGAGTATACAGGGTACTTCAAAAAATGTTTGGATTTGTGATTGTTGATTGTCGTTCGGATATAACATATATTTTTTATGAGAATACCCTATTTTTATTTTAGAATTAGATTCTACGTACAATTCATTAACTTTTTTGCATATCGCAGGTCACAGTGCAGTAACTCGTATCATTTTTTAAACATACCCAATTTTATATTAAATTATTATAATTTTTTTTAAACGAATTATCTTATAGAGCCGAGATATCAATACTTCATTATCAAATGAAATATTTTGAATTATTTTTGTGAAAATATCGCAAAAATGGTTTTAAAAAATAATACAATTTTATTAGAAAATCATACGAGATCCATGCCATGTGACCGAGCTTGTGACCCTCGATATGATATTATATTAAAATTAATAGATTTTATAATAATTCAATTTGTTTAGAGAAATGTTATATTTCGATATGGTAAAAATTATCAGTGACGCAAAATTTGTAGATTCTATCAGAAAAAATTATAATACATACTGTTTTACTGGTACGACTAATCCCGGTTATGCACTGCGCGTTTTTGTGGTTGCCGCAGAAACGCGCGGCACCGGCATCGACCATAAATAAACTACACAGAGCGCCTGCGACAGTCGCAAAAACGCACAGTGTACCGCCGGGCTTAAAACAACTGCCCCTGTCGACTACGGTTTTTCGCTATCGCAGATGATGTGTGCCTTCCGTGCCACCTCGAGCCCGGTGCGTCTCGACCTCGAATCGAGACGCACCAATTAAAGAAATAGACAGTGAAATAGATTAATTATAGTTTATAGGTTTCGTATATAACATAGGCCTGAATAACTACAAATAACTATTTTTCTGCAAAATAGAAACCCTGAATAATTTTTAAATTTCTCATTTTTATAAAAAAAATAATTTTTGAAATTTCAACTAAAGAAATACAAACATACCCATCTATGTATAAATGATTCGAGGATAACAATTATAAAAATTTTGGCGTAGGAGTAAATCTCGAAGTAAATGGGTCCAAGAAATCCTAATCAGGGAAAAAATAAAATTCTTATAATTTTCATCTTCGTAATTGGAAGGCTATTGTTTATTTCTTCTATTAAAATTTCGTAGTTGGTAAAAAACGCGCCATAATTACGCAGCGACTGCGATTTAACTGGTCGCTCTAGCAGTCGAGACGCAGCCGATGCGACTCGATCACAGACGAATTCAGACCGGACGCACCAGCGATTTAGTATGTAGTATACAAACTACATACCTGTATCCGATCCTGTACTCTAGAAGTTCCCTATAGTTTGCTTCTGGGGTACAGATACGTTGAAGCAGTCGACAGTCGTAGCCGTCAGTAAGTAAGTAAAAACAAAAACATTACTTTTCATGTTTTGTATTATTCTCTATGTATTATGAAAACATTTCCAAAACACCTTTTACGTAGAATTTAATGATTTAAGTATAATTTCTTTAAAATTAATAATAAGTTTCGAGTTATCACTAGAAAAATTGATGTTTTATTTGGGACACTCTGGGAATATTTTTAATTAAACGAGAAGAACTTAAAAGTACCTTTCCAAAAATATAGCACACTTAATATTTTGTTATAGTCCCCTTTGAAATACAGAATTTTTAAAAGTTCGTCACTTTTATCTAGTAGGCTGTGGATCTCTTATTGATGATCTGCCTCTAATTGAAAAATAAAAATTATACAGGGCGTTTCAAAAAATATGTGCCATCTCTCGTGGGTAGATTCCTCACGTAAAAATAAGACTTATTTTTCATACCAACATAGTCTCGATTCTGCTTTGTTTCGTAGCTACAGGATGTTAAAGTCTTAATAATCTTTCGATTTATTATAAATTCCTTCCGAGCACTTTTAGTGATTTGAATGGAATTTTGAGGGTGTTACTATGTTACATATTTTAATGCTAAAAAAGTGTTAATAAATGCATCAGGGACGTGCATATGGGTTATCACTGGGATATTTTCAAAAAAAACATGTGCGCCACTGATTTTTTTCGTTTGATATCAAAATTGTGTAGACCGTTTAATGCCAATTAAAAGTTATCTCTTGATATTTTGCCCACTTCGGCCTCCTGGATGAGATAAACGCAATTTTAGTAATCACAATTTATAAAATTAATAAATTAAATATTTATTTTTTAATTTTTATTTTATTATTACATATTATTACTGTTAGTTATCATTACCATTAGTCCAACATCCAGCAATTTCAAATTAAAAAAATAATGATATATAAGATAATTATTACAAAAAAAATAATTTTAAAAAGTTTTAACACCCTGTAATTATGAAACTATGCATTTCCATAGCAATGTTTATAATAAATTGTTTTATATTTTTTTATGAGAAATCAAAAAGTACTTTTTAAAACTTTTGCAAGTTAATGACATTAAATTTTTATAAAGGTTGCTATTAGACTTGATTCAAATGAAAAGCGAAATGGACAAAATATGAAGAGACAACTTATTACGGCATTAAACGGCTTCACTATTGCGCTAACAAGAGAAAAAAAAGGCAGTGGCGTACATGCTTTTTTTAGAAAAATATTCCAGAGAAAACCCATATGCACGTCCCTGGTGAATATGTTGACACTTTTTTAGCGTTAAAATATATCGCATTAATAGTAACTTTTACCCCAAAATTTCATTCGAATCGCTAAAAGCACTTGGAAGAAAATTACAATAAATCGAAAAAATATTAACACCCTGTAGCTACAAAACAAAGCAGAATCGGACCTATGTTAATATGAAAAATAAATCTTATTTTTACGTGAGGAATCTGCCCACGAAAGATGGCACATGCTTTTTGAAACACCCTGTATATACAGGGTGTCCCAGAAATAAGTGCAAGTAATTCAACTGGTAGTATAGTTCAACCCCAGAAACACGCCTATGAGGTTTTTTTCACGAAATTTTTTTTTTCAAAATTCGAAATTTGAAAAAATTTTTGATTTTTTTTAGTTTTTAATTAAAAAACATAATTTCTTGACAATATGGCAACATAGGTATTATATTAAATTTACAAGAAAAAAAAATCCAGAGAAGATCCACCGATTCTCAAAATTTTAACAAAAAATCATGTTTTTTCGAAACTTTCAAAGTAAAATAATTCCGTTATTTTGGACTTATTTGAAAAACGAAAAAGAGAAAATATGTTTCTTTTATCGAGATTTACCACCCTTTAAAATACTTGCACTTATTTCTGGGACACCCTGTATATTCGAAAAAATCGAAAACGAAAACATATTTTTCCAGCAAGACAAGGCACCGCCTTAGAATGGTGAAATAGCTAACCAAGATCTCAGAGGCTGGATATCGAGGCCGGCGCGGCGGACTTATTTCCTGTGGATTTTTATTTTTGCGGAAGAATAAAGGTTCTTATTTTTAAATTGTCCATATATAATCTAGGCAAGAATTAGAACTACTTATGCGAGGGTATCTTTCATCCCCACTTGAGTTAATTAATTCCGCGAGAAATGTTCAAAAATGGCCCCGTCTGTCCATAACAGAAGACGGTTGACATATCGAACAACCAAAATCTCAAATCTTGGTTTGATATTAATTTTTATTGTTACTAGATATAGTTTAAATGTGTTGATGTTGTTAAATGTATTTTTTAAATTGTTATAAAATTCTGCATCTCTCATTGCAAATATTATTCCGCCGTTCAAAGCCTACTTATTCAAAGTCGGCGAATTTTTACAAACTGTATATCTCGAGAGAAGAGGAATCGAGCAAAATATCAAGTTAAATTATTTTCAATGAATTAAAAATATACAGGGTGTCCCATATAAAAAATCAAAATTTCTATTCATAATTCCTAAATTGTTAATTTAAAAAAAAAATATTCTTAAACCATTAAATTCTACATAAAAAG